TCTTTTCAACACACACAGATAGTGTTTCTGCCTCACTTCCCTGCAGTATATCTTTCAAAGCACTCAGGCAGGAACTGACTCTATGTGCTGGAGCTGTTCTTCTGTCCGGTGTTGGTTTTGGCTCCTGACTTTAATCTATTTAGTTTTTTGTGAACTTTCTTTTAATGTCATCTACACATTCTGAGGCTACATTTGTCGCCATTGGTGATGTGTACAGTTACCAAGATCTCTTGTGAGGCAAGCAGAGAAGATACTGTTTACCTGAGATTTCGGACATGTATGCGTTATCTGAGCGCACTATATACATTTCTAACTTCATGGTATGTCTTTGTTTTGTTGCCACTTCTTGCCTAATTTTTCCATTGGATTGTACATGAAATTAGTACAGAAATATTTAACTTGTTTAGCTAACATCAGTGGCAAAGACCTAACATTACTGAAATGCAAGATGCTGCTTATGAGCTACTTACTAGTCTTTGCATTTAAACAGTAATTACTTAATTTTGTTGCATAGTCGGGCAGAAACCTTGTATGACAATTTCTTTTCATAAATCAGTGCTATTGGCCACCCTTTATGTTTCTCTGTTTTACAAATATTTACCCAGTGGAAAGCTTTAAAACCAGCAATACCAACTTTCAATTATTAATTTAGGTAATTAAAACTTGGGTTTTAATCAGCGATGATTTGTTGATTAGTCTGTTTGTCTTATTTTTTAGTTCTTAATCACTGATGAAAATGTAATACACTTATTTTATTTTATCAGGTGTAATAACCTGGTATATATTGTCTATACAGGGACTTAAAATCCTTAAAACTGCAGTAGGTAGCTTTTATAAAAATTTGCTTTTTGCAAGAATCCACCGGGCCTGGATGACAACAACCAATCAGAGCCAAGAACGATTGTTGATTGTTGAATCTCATTCCCAGGCCGTCAAATGAGACTCAACAATCAACTATCTTCAAGCTCCCAACCAAGTGTCTTTCTGTCTTTCTTGGCTCTGATTGGTTGTTTTCATTCAGGCCCGGTGGATTTTTGCAAAAAGCATTAGTAGCACTATGAGAAGGCTGATTTTTTTCACAGATTCAGGATATAGTTAAAGTTTCAGCAAATATGCTAAGTTATTTTTATACACGTTACCTACTGCAGCTTTAATGATGATGGAAAACAACCCTTTCCTGGCAGAAGCACATCTGAGCTCTTCTCACTTACGTTGTGCAGCTGAGGAATTCAAGTAAACCAGAAGCGTCCAGGCTTTCTATTTTAATTACATTTCACACATGCGCTGATTAGGTAAGTATGCTTTGAAATGGATACCAAGTGTGAGATCAGACATGCAGCTAAACAGGTCCATATGGTCACTGTTACTGCCTGATGGAAATATGACAGCTGTGCAATAATATCTCCAACATCTGAGCCTTAAGACTTGCAGAGATTATAGAATCTATTCTTGTCGTATTTAATGACAGGGACATAGTATGAGAGGAAAGGCAGGTGGGTAAACAGAGAAAGTCCTTAATGTTCGAGGCAAGAAAAATCTAATATCCCTATGCCACGGACTGCAGAGTCCCATTTAGCCAGGAAAGGAATTACATTATTAGCTGTGGTGACAAGTGATGATGATGATGACGGTGGGGGTGACACCACCTTACTCCCTGTCAGCAATGCACCCCTAGAGTCTGTTATGATGGGCCCCTAAAAGCCACTGCCACACACCATTAATTCACAGGGGCCCCAGGGACCTATCAAAGAGCCTTTATCTAGGTAAATATTTGAGTAATTTGAGATATTTGACACCTATTTGATGCATCCAGGTAGGCTGCCAAGCAACACAGGGGGGGTCCAGATGAGAGAGGGGCTGGTGGTCAGCAACAGTATCGCTGGAAAAATCTCTAGGCCCACGGCACAGATGAACAGGTGCTGCATGACATGCGGGTCCATGAAAAAGCTGCTGCGCACTATAACTCACGCACTCCCCACCTCACTGCCTCAGTCTGAGCACAAGCGGGCTCTCTTGGTTTGGTTTGCCGAATGTGCTGGCAATAATAAAACCCTTGTCTTCAGAAACGCCTTTGAGCTTGAGGTTGTTTTGAAAGGTCTTTGAGGAAGACATGATAAGATAACATAAGATAAAATAAGATATTCCTTTATTTGTCCCACAATGGGGAAATTCCAATGTTACAGCAACAAAGAGTGGATAGAGAAAAAACCAGTTAAAAAATAGTAAGACTCAGGGAAAAAAAAAATCATATAATATAAATATAAACACTATGTACAAGAGAAAAAACATGTAAAATCAAGAAAAACTGTAAGAATCAAATGACAGATAACACAAATAGTAGCAGCACACAAATAGTAGCAGCAAAAATAAAGTTGCACATGGGCAATAGATTGCACAGTGAATATGATATGATATGACATGAGAAGAATGTGGTAAAATATTTTTGAAATGTTTTGAAATGCAGTTTTGTATTAGCTGTTTAAATTATTTGTTGTAAGTATGGAGACACATCTATACCACTGTTTGGGTGTTTTCTATATGTTATTTTCAGGTTTTCAAAGTGAGGGTTTTAGTAGATAGATTGTTCAGTAAACGACCCTTGAGCCTTGCCTAAATGGGAATATTTTTTAGCTTTCCTAACATTGATGGGTAATTTTATTGGTCAGTCCACAACTTTGGTCCAAACTGAAATATAATTCTAAACTACTTTATGGTTGCCATGAAATTTGGTATAGAAATGGGGTAGTCTCCCTGAGGTCATCCATATGTTTCTGAAGCGCCGTTGTGAAGCTCAGTTTTGTCAGCACTGGACAGAATAATTAGCTATAGAGACCAAAAGTGTTTTTTGTACCAGGCTGTAAACATGTTTATTTCTGTTGTAAAGTTGGCCATTTTAATATGGGGCCATATGGAGATTGACTCACTAATTCATTTTTTAGTAATTGATACCCTGACTTTCTACCAAGTGCCATCATGAGGTCATAATTTTGATTTGTCCCTTACTTTACTTTATGACCAAATAGCTACCTGCAAAATTGAAACAATTAGCATTGCCATTGTGAGCATGTTAGCATTCTGACGTTAGCATTGGCTCAAAGCACTGATGCTATCATAGCTGACTCCTGTTCTAACACAAATAATAGGCTAGAGCCCAAGCTTCTAAAATATTGATATTGATATATACCTAAATCATTCGGACTTCAACAAACTTTTAGCCATTTTTAGTATCTCAAACTTAAAGATGGTAAAGATGTCAATATATATGTCACTAATACTAATTAACATATTAGTTAACTTACTCTTTAAAACTATATTCTCTTTTGGTAATGAAGATTGTTACTCAAAAGGTGCTTTAAACCCGTTAGTAGCACTGTCGTTTCGAAACAACAGAAGGCATTCATGTGGAAAACTTAAGACTGTATCAGATTCTCACTCTAATAGCTGCCGGTAATGAAAGACAGCCTCAAGGCCTGGCTGTGTTGTATGACTGTGTTTTCAGCAACATCAAACAGGTGATTATGACCTTGCAGCTTCCACAGCTGTCAGGTGCTCTCTGTGTAGAGCCCACTGGATGTGAACAAGAAAATAACTCTTCTTTTCTTATAACATGAATGAAACATGCCCCTGCAGGTCCTTGTGAATGAGTACAGCTACTTTTTTTGTCCTGTCTCAGTTGTCAAAGCATAGGTACAGCTTCAGTGCTTTTTACATTCTGGATCAGCTGCACAGTTAAAGAGAATATCTGAAACTTTAAGAATGCGTTAATCAGACTTAAAGGATACACTCCAGAATATACCTGACTCAGTGAACTGTATTTCAGTTCCAGTGATGCAATTACCCAGTGACATAGAGGCTGGAAAAAGTTTCAAATCAGAGATAATTACAGAGGACATGAAATATCCTTATTGTTTACCCAGAGGGGGTTTTCCTCAAGTCTGGAGGAACCATAATTGTCTTTATACAACAGTTTTGGAAGCACTAAACACAGGCACAGAGAGATAAATGTATTGTCCAACATGAATGTAAAAGGTTATCAATGTTTACATTGCATTAAGTGTTTCATCCTGAAATCACTCAGCACACGCTGACGACATCTAGCTTACACAGGCTAGTTTGGACAGAGAATATTTCTAAAGCTGTGTTCAGAATGAAAGCTGAGTGAATTTTACAAGCAGATGTAAGATGATTTCCCTAATCAGCAGGAGTTGAAGAAAGGATGTACCTGCAGGATTTGAAAATGTTGTTCATGAACACGTTGAGATAAGAAAACAAAGGAAAAAGGATCTAGTGGAAAGCAGGAGGAAATACTGGATTTGGAGCTCAGTCAGTAACACACTAGAGGTACACTAATTCCCCATGGATAATTTGGTATCATGAAATTACAGTACAGAAATGGCATGGATAAATTCACAGTAGTTTAGAAACAGTGTCTCTATTACATTAGTTAGAGTAGACTAGTTTATTTTTCAAATGTAAAATATCCTGCTTACTACTTATCTTGGCTATAGCTCCTCTTAAATGTTAATGCTGTTAATGCAGAGGGGTGGACTCAAGTCACATAACTTTGGCTTGAGTCAGAATCAAGTCACAAATTTTATAACTTGAGTATAAAGTACTTGCAACTCGGCTTGGACTGGAAGGCCAGTGACTCGTGACTTGGACTTGGACTTGAGTGTTTTGATTTGAAAATACATGATACCTTCCCCCAAGCCCAAAGACTAAAGTATGTTACTTAAAACGTGTGTCATGAATCAATACCTTTCATTCCTGACTTGTTTAGGACTCAAAACTCAAAGTTTAGGGACTTGGAACTTGACTGGGGACTTGAATGCAAAGACTTACAGACAATAACTCAGCCCCACCACCATTATACTATTACTGTCTGAAAAATGATCCTATTAGTCAGACTATACTCTGCACACACTTTGTTGGTACCGATGAGGTTAGCTACAATTAATGTCTGTACAGTTTGTACTGCATACAGTTTATAATCTTCTTACCTCACTGAGCCTACAGCATTCATCCATGTACTCCTCCAGGCTGTCAGTGGTGGCACTCCTCCATGTAAGCTCTGGCTCAAAGTCATTGCCTGTCATGACATCACAGGCTTCTGTTGACAATTTCTTCCCATATTGCCTCATATGCTCCAAGCAGTTCCTTTCAGTTACACTACTGTTTTCCTCGATCTGTCCAGGCATCTCCTCATCTCCTTCAGGGCTGATTCCTGGAGCCATACACTGGTCCCTGTCCATGTCCTCATCTATGTGCAGTTCTACTCTCGCAGCTGAAGAACTAAGTTGCTCCGAGTGTAAGAACACATCGTCCTGAGCATTAACTGCCGTACTCAGACTATTATCCACCAAGTCCTCTGCCTGTTTTATCTCAGAGCTCTGTGCATATGTGACTAGTTTATCAGTGAGAGTTTCAGGATCGGAGTTTAAGTTGCAGGAGTCGCAGGAAGACTCTCGACTGTGGACCACAAAGCTCTGCTCAGAGTCTGTTGGGGTGGATGGAGAGTTAGCTCCGCTGGGTAGCTCCACTCCAGAGTCCTCCGACTCAAACTTGTATAACCTCGTCAGCTGAGAGTCTGAGAAAATAGTAGACAAGTAGTCTGAGCCGGACTCCATCTGGGGCTGTTTGGACTTATCGTCAAGGTGTGAATTCCCCTCAGACAATTTGATGTCCTGCTCGAAAGAGCTGGAAATGGTGGAGGTGGTGTCATCGGCTATCAGGAGACTCTCTTGGAAGTTGCTGAAGAGCTTCATTTTTGTCAGGACAACATCACTATCCAGCACTGCATCTCGGTCTCCTTTCCCTGTTGAACAGATAAAGAAAATGTAGATTTATTCTAGAAGCCCATTCTCAAAAAGTCCTTTTATAATACGCTGTTTGTAATTGCCTAATTGTTACTGCATAACTTCTGATCTAATGGACATAATGGACATATATACAGATGGACGACATGACAGCTCTCCAAAAGTGAAACCAAAACATTTCTATTCTACCCTGGTGGCTGACTGCAGTATAGGTCATGAAGCCTGCTGCCTCCATGTTAGCAGATGGGCCAAAGAAAAAAATCAATGTAACACATGAAATAAGTTTTTTCCAAAGATGGTTTAAGCAATTCTTATCATGCTGCTCTATGTTCATTTTTCTGATCAGTTTGGTTTTAATTTGTTATTTGAAGCTATAAACAGGAGGTTTCATCATGATTGATAGCTGAGCCCTGCTCATAATTGAGTCAGCAGGGCGTATGGGTCGATACTGCAGCACCAATCCTGATCAGTACGACTTTGGCACCAAGTTGAGACACAATGTCCATCTTTTATATGTTGATGGTCCCAACAGACAAGAGTTAATTTATAGCTGCTAAAGGTCTTTGTTACCTGAACGTATACCCTTGTCATTATTGGGCCCTTGCTGAACCGAGTGATATTGTTGTTTTTCTTGGGAGAAAAGTCTCCCTCATCTGCATACCTATGCTGGAAGTTTGCAGTGTTTTCACACAGTCTGAAAATGTCTCTGATATGCCTCAAAGGAAACGAAAGACCTTGAAATACCTGAGCCAAAGCCAAATTTAAAGTGTAGCTTGGAGCTGCCAGGGAACGGATTTGCTTGACTTAAGGTATTTCAGCGATAGCCAAATTATATAATACCCAGCTGATGTACTACTATAATTCATTTTAAGGGCATTTAATGAGCAAAAATAAAGCCTGCAGAAGCGCAGGTATTTCACCCTTCCTGTCAACATCAGTTGGCTAGTTCTGGACTGTATCCAGTCTTTTGATCAAGAATGGCCCATGTGTACCCTCAAAAAGTATATCAAAAGTGATAAGACTGGATGCTTGAGTGAAACTTGGGAACTAGGACTACTGTTTATGTAATCCTGCATTCTTTAACTGAAATACCAAAGGACTAGTACAATTTGTCAGTGTCTGCTACCTGACTGTCCAGCTTTGATCTGAAGCTCCAGTTAAGACCATTACAGGGAGCAGTCATATGTGTCCTCTCCTGTTTCTCACTGTGGGCAATTTGATATGTCTCTCTGTCAGTCAAGTGACATTTTTTTCCTCCCTTCCAACCTTTGAATTTTAAGAGGGAGGACAAAAAGTGTTCCCTCTTTCCCCAGAGAAATGGAGGGCCCTGATTGAGCCGGGGTTGTTCTATTTGTTTAGTCAAGTGCCTGAATAAAACTGCAGCTAAGCACCATTTCGGGAGAATATAATTCCAGAGTGCTAGATCACACTTTAACAATAGTGGAGGTTGGGCGACTTCCTGCAGGGTGAATTGGAGATCTTGCCAAGGCAAATATGAGATTAAAAGTTCTTTGAAGTGGTAAATCCGACGCTTTTATCCTCTCTGAGGGGAACTTTGGCTGACGGAGTCCTTGAAGGGGAATTTTCTCCAAAGCATGTTGTGAGAATCTGAGCAGAACTGAAAGTCTTTGGCTTATTGATAATAGGCAGCAAAGCAAAAGAAATAACAGCAGTGTGAATGTGTGTATGTGGACATTCACACTTCCTTCTGTGTGGTTTAGATGAGGCAGAGGGGATGTTGTGATTGTGAAGGGTGGAGGCCTGCATGCACAGAATGATGAATGATTCACAATAAATTAGTTAGCTGGCTGGAACTGATTGGAGGGTTTTTAACTTTGTTTGTAACATGGCACAACTGAAAATCTAAACTGCTTTTGATGAAGTACAAGTACATGAAATCAATAAGAAAAGGAATCTAAGGTTTAAAGGTTTTCCACAGAAAACCTTTTGTGAAGTGCTCAACACTGTATTGCACACAACAACAATACACCCACAGCTCCTCGAAAATGACCACTGTTTTGATAACCCTGTTGTTGAATAAGAGCAGATCTGCCAAAACACTGATAGTGAGTGTTCGGTTGTGCCATATCAGCTTCTAAACACCAGGTCTCTTCCCATGTTAAACAAAGTCTGTGTTCTCCCACTGTGGTTCAACACAAAAACAGAGAGCTCTGCCGTTTTTAAAACACAAAACATTTTTACACAGTGCATGCTATGTGTGGCCAGTGTGGGTACAAGAAAAAAATCATTTTGTGTTGACTGTAATCTCTCTTCCACTCTAACGCTCAGATAGAAAAAGTAGTGCTATGATGTCAGATGTTACAGCAATTGTGTGAAATACAAATCCCACTGTTATATACATTTATATACATAAAAAAGTTGACTTTTTTTACTCAGATTTTACGCATGGTGTGTTCTTTATACTGGCAGTTTTCCTAAAATTTGATTAAAATAAATCGCAATATATTTAATTGTATCCCCTGTATCGTTCTAAGTTCATATGGTAATTATTTTTTAACTTAAAAACGTTGTTACAGCAATTACAGAAAAAAGCCAAAAATTGTAAGTATTTAATATTTGTTCATTACTGGTTTAAGTTTTCAATCATTAGATATGAGATAGTTAATTCCTGTATTATAGTACATTTTATTCCATAAATATGCTTCACAATTTAGAAGTGCACAAAACTGTAGAGGTCAGGTCACAATTCCATTTTAAGTAACATATTGGACAAAACATTCAGGTAGAGGAGAAGCTATTATTAGATTTCCAAAAGAATTTAACATGGCCTTTTGGAAGAAATTAAAATTCCATTGTTTACTCTCCTCTTTCTCTAACTGAATCACACTGTGGCCTCAGTAAGGCAGTGAATATGTTTACTGTGCTTCAGTTTTCACTTCAAAATTTTACAGTCGAGCCTTACATTTATTTTAAAAGAATTTGCCAATTTATTTTCTTTACACATACTGTTGTCCGTGATGTGGTGAGCTCTTGTTAGACTCTGCTTTTGCTACATGCAGATTTTATGTTTTCTTAATCAGCTCAACTCAAGCTGTTGACTCCTTGTCTTCCTTGTAGGCTAGAAAACTCACTTCCTGTTTTTGCCAAATGCTAGGAAAAGCAGTGAAAGGCTTCAGCAGGTCACCACTGAGGCTTATTGTTATTCCCAATGAGCTCACTGTATCTGAGTGAACTGAAAAGCCCATTGTGTGTTTATGTCTATGTTAGCCTAAATTAGAGTTTACTGTCTCTTGAGCAATACTTCTGAAGCAACAAGGCCAGAGTGTGATGTCAAAGTCACTAGCAATGCAAACAATCTCCAGAATGTTTTAAAGAGGCAAAGGCTGAGGGCCTGGCTTAGAGAAAAATTCAAATTAATTCATTTTAATGGAACTGCAACAATCAATACAAATTATCACCAACTGCAAACTCTCAGTTCACAAAGCTTTAGTCAGCTGGCTAGTTAGCTAGCATTTTCTTACGGAGCAAAACAATAGCTAACTGCTACATTAATCATTAGCTAACTGGTTACATCTAATAGAAATCCATCAGAGAGTGGCCAAATCAACAGTTTGGTACATCCTGAGAAAAAAAGAGCGCACTGGTGAGCTCGGTAACTCAAAAGGCCTGGACAGTGGCGGATGATCGCAGGATCCCTTCTATGGTGAAGAAAAACCCCTTTACAACATCCACCCAAGTGAAGAACACTCACTAGGAAGTAGGTGTATCAGTATCTAAGTCTACCATAAAGAGAAGACTTCATGAGAGCAAATACAGAGGGTTCACCACAAGGTGCAAACCATTAATCAGCCTCAAAAATAGAAAGGCCAGATTAGACTTTGCCAAAAAACATCTAAAGGAGCCAGCCCAG